CCCCTAATTATTTGTTGACTCCTAATTATTGATTTATTTGTTTATTGTGAATTTATGTAGTTTGCATTGGACCCTGATGGTGATTTGTGTTTCCAATAACACAATCTTCCTATTTGATTCAGCTCGATTGCCTCAACCAAAAAAGTTGCTCGTGAAGGCCATACTACAAAAGTAAATATAGCTACCTAGTGTTGATTATCATTACCTAACTCATTTATTAGTCATAATAATCAAATTTGAACTTACTTTTCTATATTGTTATGAAGAAGCTAAATTTTCGTGCTCCTTAAGGTTCTACATAGAAATCACCGATGGTAATGCCACATGATATTGTGATTTTAGTAATAAACAATGCGTAAGATGTTGCTATTTTGCTATGCATGTTTGATTCATGTACTTTGTTCCTATTCTAGTGCGCACAACAAGATAACGGAGTTGATTGAGGCTTATACGTGATGAGATTCATGTTTGACATAGTGAGTCGTTGTACGGACATACTACAGCTTGATGAGGTATGCCATTGACTTAGTTAAATTGCTCTTTTCATGTGATTTCAAGCCTTAGCCGCGTAAAACTAAATAATATTGACATGTTATGAGAAAGAATGAGTTCATTTGATAAGAGATGTAGAAAATAGGCAAAGTAAAAGTCAAATAGGCCTTATTTGGGCCATTTTGGATGAAAATGCGTCCTAAAACTTAGTAAATTGCTCTTTTCATGTGATTTCAAGCCTTATCCCCGTAAAACTAAGTAATATTGATATATTATGGGAAAGAATGAGTTCATTTGATAAAAAATGTAGAAAATAGGCAAAGTAGAACTCAAATAGGCCTTATTTGGGCCATTTTGGATGAAAATGCGTCCTAAGACTTAATTAATTGCTCTTTTCATGTGATTTCAAGCCTTATCTGCCTAAAACTAAGTAATATTGACATGTTATAAAAAAGAATGAGTTCATTTGATAAGAAATGTAGAAAATAGGAAAAGTAGAAGTCAAATAGGCCTTATTTGGGCCATTTTGGATGAAAATGCATCCTAAAACTTAGTTAATTGATCTTTTCATGTGATTTCAACCTTATCCGCCTAAAACTAAATAGTATTGACATGTTATGAGAGAGTATGAGTTCAATTGATAAGAAATGTAGAAAATAGGCAAAGTAGAAGTCATATAGGCCTTATTTGGGCCATTTTGGATGAAAATGCGTCCTAAAACTTTGTAAATTGCTCTTTTCATGTAATTTCAAGCATTATCCACCTAAAAATAAGTAATATTGACCTTTTTGACATGTTATCCACCTAAAAACTAATTAATATTGACGTGTTATGAGAAAAAAGGAGTTCATTTGATAAGAAATGTAGAAAATAGGCAAAGTAGAAGTCATATAGGCCTTATTTGAGCTATTTTTTCCCAACGAAACATGTAAATACATGAATTTGATTCCTAATTGCTTATTTATAATTACCAAAAATACAAAATTGGTATATAAGCTTAGTATAACTCATTGGATTGAAATTTAGAAAGAAAATAACAACTTTGGGAACGTTATAAGCTATTAAATTCCATTTTAGGCCATTTTTGCCCAAGTGAACTTGTAAAAGCATGAATTGGACTCCTAGTTGCTTGTTTATGGTTATCAACAATAGAAACATTGTATATAAGCTTAGTATAAGTCATTGGATTGAAATTTAGAATGAAAAGAAAAGTTTGGAAATGTTAGTAGCTGTTACATGCCATTTTAGGCCATTTTTGCCTAAGTGAACTTGTAAATGCATGAATTTGACTATTACTTGCTTGGTTATACTTACAAATAAAGAAACATTCTATATATTCGACCCACTTATAATAATCAAGTTTGGTATTTAATTTTTAAACATGTATTTATACATGTATAACCTAAGTAATTAATTCTAACATAATTTTTGTTTATTCCAAGTTTTGCAAGGTACAAAAGTTGACAAGCAAGGAACTTAATGAAGTTAGAGACATGTTGGCGTCTTTCATCACCTTTAATTTGTAAAAGTCACTTCTATTTGAATTTAGATTTTGTTAACTTTTTAACTACATTATTAATTAGTATTATTTGTAAATATGACACTTTTAATTAATTTGAGGAATTGTAAATAGGAAAAATTCATGGCAATAATCCGACCTTTAGCCCATTCTTTTTTAATAATCCGACCTTTCAATTATTATTTAATAATCCGACCTTTGGGGGTCTTTAATTTTTATTGGTCCCATTTGACCAGAAACCGGTTAAAGAGGTACAAAATTGGTTCAAAATACACGTGTCATTACATAATTGGTCAAAAAAAAAAAAAAAAACCCAAACTCGACCCAGCCACCAGCCCACCACCATCCCCACCACCACCCAAACCCAAAACATAGAACCACCGTCCCTACCAGACTCGAATCCAACCACCCCACCAGCCTCCACTCCTTCCCCCACCCCGATTCCGACCACCCAACACCGGCTCTACTTAACCCCCTCCCTTAAACCACCAACATCCCAGACCCTCCCATCACCAATCAATCACTACAGCCCACACTCACAACTCCATCAACCATTTCCGGCCATCTCTCACCCACAACACTTCCATCACCACCTTGCCTATTATTTCCTTGCAATTGAAGCGACCACTAAACCACCGCAACAATCAACAACAGCCCTCAGCTGCAGCACACCTCACGCCGCACAACAATCCAACACCACAATAGCTTCCCCTACTATCGCAAGAATAGAGCAAATCGCAAATCAATTAGGTTTGGGCGAACCTCAGTAGTGTTCGGCCGAACAAATTGTGACATTTGGGGGTTTCGAGGGTGGAGGGAAGGGCGGTTGGGGGTTTCGGGGGTTGGTGAGGGAGTTTTGTGAGCGTTTCCAGGAAAGGGGAGGGGGGTTTAGGGAATGGTGTTTCGGGGGGAAGGGGAAGGGCGACAAACTGACAACAGGGGTGGAAGAAAGGGCTGACCGGCGAGGGTGGTCTTGGCGATGCCGGTGAGTGGGCTAGGTGACGCTAGTGAGTGCTCAGGGAGAGTGGTGGTTTCATGGTTGGTTGGTGAGGGAGGCGTGGTGAAATAATAATAATAATAATAATAATAATAATAATAATAATAAATTATTTAGTTAGGATTTTTTTATTTTTTTGACCAATCACAGGCCGCCACGTGTTATGTAACCTGTTATAACAGGTTACATGACCGGTTAGGACCAATAAAAATTAAAGACACCCAAAGGTCGAATTATTAAATAATAATCCAAAGGTGGGATTATTAAAAAAGAATGGCATAAAGATCGGATTATTCCCATGAATTTTTCCTTGTAAATATGACACTTCATTGTATTGCATTTGGGATTATTAATATCTATGTATTGTTGTTATTATTTCAATTTAGAAATTATTATTATTATTATTATTATTATTATTATTTTTATAATAATAATAATAATAATAATAATAATTATAATATATTATAATAATGGTAGAACTAATGCAGGATGTACATGTATTTTATTATTATTATTATTAATATTATTATTATTGCCAATATATATATATATATATATATATATATATATATATAAAATATATATATATATATATATATATATATATATATATATATATATATATATATATATATATATATATATATTTATATTATATATATATATATATATATATATATATATATATATATAGATTAATGGCACCGGTTAACCGATGCCAATTGCAATTAATACCAAAAAAAAGCGCAGCAATGTTTTTTTAGCACCGGTTAACTGGTGCCAAAAATATTTATTCCCACCTGTTAACCGGTGCTAAAGCTAAGAATTGCCACCGGTTTTGAACCGTGCTAAAGTTTCTATTTTTTGGCATACCTCAAATCTAGACCGATTCAAAACCGGTGTGATAGGGGGGTTTTGAATCGGTGCGCATTTAAGTTTTTCTACTATTGGAGCCACCTTCTAGGAAGGTTTTCCTTAACCCTGGGAACAAACTACTAGACTTAGATACAAAGACCACCTTCTAGGAAGGGTGCCCAAGTATCAAAACCAGGCAAAACAAAAAGAAGCTATTACATCAAAATTATTGTCTATCTACATCATTACTTCTACAAGCAACTTTGAAAACTATATCGCTAAAACTAGCTTCGGTAGGCATGCAACAACCGTTGAACATATTGTTATTTCTCTGAATCCAGATGTTGTGGACTGTTTCAGCCAGAAACATCAAATGCAGTCTCCCTTTTGCCCTCGATTTCCTGCAGTACTTGATACACCACTCAGCTTCTTGACTAAAATACTACACAACCTTTTTGCATTGCAGCATACTTAACACCATTTGCCAGATTTTCCTAGAGTATATGCATAAAAAGAAAATAGAAAAGCAAACAGAGTGGATTAGACTGGATGTTCCAAGTTATAAGCATGTCTTTAGTTAATAATCTATTCAAGAGAGCTAACCACAACACAAATAAGCTCTTTGGTGAAGCATGATTATTGCAAATAAACCTTTTCCAGTTCACTTTTGGAGCTTGAGGCCTAAGAAGCCCGTAAATCTTTTTAATCTGTACCCCTGTGCCTTTTTTCACATTTTCCCATCCACCAATATTGTTAATCACTTACCTGCACTTGAGAATTCTTCTTAGCACCTAAGAACTCTTCTTAGGTACATCAACTTCCCAACAGTTCCTGTTTTTGAAATAATAAGTATGAACCCATTTTACCCAAAGAGAATCAGATTTATGGGTAATATCCCATAACAACTTACAGATAGCTGTTGTATTATACTCCAGGAAGAGAGATGATGTTCCAGCCTCCACTAACCTTAGGCAAGCAAACTTAGTTCCAAGCTACCAGAGATTTCTTTGAAGGATTATATTGCCTAGTCTAGAGTAAAGCTCTGAATCTTGCTTCAATCTCCTTCAGAATATTCTTGGGAAGCGCAAAGATTTGACTCCAGTAAGTTTGCACACCAAACAGAACACTCTTAACAAGTTAGAGTCTACTAGCATAGGATAAGAGTCTAGCTGCCCATCCATTAATCCTTGCTGTAACTTTATCCACAAGAGGTTTACATTGACTAATAGTGAGTTTCTTGGAAGAAAGGGGAACCCCAAGATATCTAAAAGGGATATTACCAGGAGCCACACCAAGAATATGAAGAAGTACTGCCTGATTATAATCAGAAACCCCACCAAAATAAGCTTCACTTTTCTAAAGATTTGCAGAGAAGCCAGAAGCTTGAGAAAACTTATCAAAACCAGCTTAATAGAGAGTTCATCACCTCTGGCAAACATTAAAAGGTCATCAACAAACATGAGATAACTAAGGTGCAACTTTTCACATCTAGGGTGAAAATTAAAATTAGGAATAGATTCGAGTTCATGCATGCACCTTGACAAGTAGTCCATACCAATAGCAAAGAGAAAAGGAGACATGGGATCACCTTGCCTAAGCCCTTTCCTAGAAGCAAAAGGAGTAGGAATTCCATTTATCAACACAGAAAAAGAAACTGTAGTGATACAACTCATAATCCAGGAAATGAAAAGACTAGGGAAACCTAACTCACCCATAACACTGCCAAAACAAATTCCCTTAAATATAGTCATAAGCTTTTTTAAGGTCAACCTTTATCATACACCTTGGAGTGATGTACTTATGAGAGTACCCTTTTATAAGCTCAGTTACAAGCAATATATTATCACAAATATGCTTCCCAGGGATGAAGCCTGCTTGTGTATCATCAACTACCTCTCCAATGACCTTTGCTAGTCTAGCAGTCAAAATCTTAGAATGATTTTGTAAAAAATAGTACAACATAAGAAATAGGCTTGAAATCCTTAGCATAAGATGGATTTTGCACCTTAGGAATAACCAGAGTAATTGTTGTACGATTCCACTGTCTCTGCATTATACCAGTAGTGAAAAACTCCATAACTGCATTATAAACATCCTTTTTCACAATATGCTAGGCTCTTTGAAAGAAAAAATAATTAAAGCCATCAATTCCAGGAGCTTTAGTAGTATCAATTCCCTTTAAAGCCTCATCAATCTCAGCTATAGTGATAGGAGAGACTAACAACTGTTGAGTAGAAATTGAAAATTGATTCCCTTTTCTCAGAATTACTAGATCAACTACAGGGAGAGAATTAGAGGTAGAGTCCATCAACTGTTTATAGAACTCTATAATTTCCCGTTCCACCACATCAGGCTTCTTCAAGAGAGTGTTATTAGAGTTGAAAATGGAATCAATCCTATTTCTACTATTATTCCGGGGTAGCTCCGGAGCCTAGCTGGGAGTCTGGCCTGAACGTCAGTCGGAAGTCACCTGCACAATAATGGTGGTTATGCTCTCGGGGGTGGCTTCAAGGAACCCCCCTTCGATGGTTAAGTTAGTAAGGCTATTTTATGAACAATAATGGATAAGTTATGAAATATATGTGTCTAACCTCTTTCTTGTTGCATTTGGGTTACTATTTATAGTTATTCCATTCTTGGTGCTGCAGGCTGAGGCCCGCTGAGGTCATCCACGAGGCTGAGCTCCTGGGAGGTTTTCCCTGACCTTGGACCTAGCTGGCTTGAGTGTGCACCTCCTAAAAGGTGTTGGGAGCACGGGGAAGCTCAGCGGGAGCTACCCTATAAAACTAGCCCCTCAAGGGGTGGTATGAGGTACTTAATCCAGCTCTTGCTGACTGGAGATATTCTTCTGCCCTAAGGTTAGGAGCATGGAAAGAGCTCTGTCAGAGCTATCCTATGCAACTAGCCCCTTAAGAGGTGGTATGAGGTTCCCATGCCAGCTGTTCCAAGTGTTTGACTTTTGCTAGGTGATTACTTGGTTGGAATTTCTGACTGAAATCTTCCTCATATAACTAGCCCCCCTGAGTCTCACATATGCACTAAGTTGATTTAAGGCTCAGAGAGTTCTGCTAGTGAGATTCGTTGTGCTAGATTGTCCATGTGAAGATTTTCAATTACTCTTGCTGAAGTTATTTCAAAGCGACGAGCGGAGGCTGAGCGAGGAGCTTTGATTACTCTCGCTGAAGTTATTTCAAAGCGACGAGCTGAGGCTGAGCGAGGAGATTTGACTTTGTTAGAAAGTTTTATTTATTTATTTATTTTTGACATGGTTGCGCATCTTGGGTGGTTATCTCCCTTAGTTGGATAGGTAACTGCCATTTAATGTTCGGTATTCAATTCCCTTTCTTTTCCCTTCGTATTCCGCGCTTCTATTATTCCCATTCTTATTTAACTTCGAAATTTTTCTTTCTCTTTCTTCTATCATTTACTCTCCTGTCATTTCATAGTTATTTCTCTTTTGTTCTTACTTCTTTCTATTTCCTTCACTCTAAACTTTGCAATTTCGCTAGGGTGCCACTCGCCGCAAGCTCGCCGTGAATTTCGCTCTGGTTGCCCCCCGTTTGTTGCTCGTTCGTAAAAAGGTACCGTCTTTTACCCATTCCTTCGCCATTTTTGTACTTTCTTCGCTGTATTTAGTTTATTCTTTCTCAAAGATTGTTCCTTTTTTCTTTATGTGTTGTTAATTTGTTCTTGTACACTTCCTCTTTGTTCAAAAATCAATTCTTGTCCTATTTTTGTTGTAATTTCTTTGCCCTTGCGCATATTTGTATTGTTCATTTTCTAATTTGCTCTTCTATCGCTCCTTTTTCTTTTTTCCTTTCTTCTTGTTTCGTTTCCTTATTAGAAATTTTTGTTCTTTCCCTGTTTTCCAAGTTCAGATTTTTTCTGGTCATGTCAGACGCTTCTGATAATCCGAATGATTTCTCCTGTTCTTACGATGATGATGGCGAGTCTGAGACTGCTTCTTCCTCCGAGTCGACTTGCTCAGGTGAGCCAGCTAGGCCATCTGACCCTTTTTCTTCTCCAATTTCCTATTCTCCCGTTCAATTTATCTTTCCTCCTCCCCGTAATACTTCATCGGGGACTGAGTCTGCCGCTGGCGCTTCTGCTTCTTTTGTTGAGACCAGCAGCGGATGTTCTGGCCCTAGCGTGTTCCGTCCTTATCTTCGTGGTAAGGTGCACATCGACACTTTTGACCCTTATTGCGAGAGGGTCTTGATGACCAGGGGGGTTACGCTGCTAACCCTCTTGCTGATGCCTCTATAAGTCCATTTCCTAATGTGTTTCCCTTACATGAATTTGCTTGGCTGGATGATATATCTGATGTGCGCCGTTTTGATCATTATGTAGAGCGCAACTCCTCTTCTGCCGATATTACAATGGCTGCCTCCCAGCCTCCCTCTCCTGGTGATGCTGCTCTGAATACCTGCCAGCCTTGGTATGTGGACGAGGTGGTCCTTCCAGGTGACTCTACCTTTTATTTGGATGATAATGCTGATGGTCCTCGTCTTTGCACCTTGAGCTCTAACAGGCGGATGCTGGCTGCCCGTCTAAAGTTGGCTGAATGCGGTAAAACATTCTATGGGCTGGGAGAGGGCTATGAGTTGGTGCTGCCCAAAGCTTGGTTCAGCCTTGCCCATCCTCCAGCGGGTCACATTATTGTCTTTGCTTCTCAGCTAGATGTTGGGCTGAGGTTTCCTTGAGACCCAACTTTAGACAAGTTGCTACGTGCCTTCAATATTCCTCTCTCTCTGATTTTGCCTGCGTCTTTGCACACTTTGATATGCCTGCTCTGGACAGTGCTCTTCAAAGGTTTTCCAGAGTCTTTCTCTTTATTTCACCAATTTAGTTTAGCTTTAAACGGAGTGCTTCTGGTGCTGACTCTTGCTGGTTTTATCTTGCGCCCAAGCTTAAAAGAGTTTTGTCTTACCCTAAGTTGGGTCGCTTTAAGGACTGGCAAGGGAAGTTCTTTTGGCTGCGAGTTCCTGCCAATTTTGGCCGCCCTCGCTCTTTTTGCTACGTTAGGTCGAATATGGGGGGTGTTACTCTGCAGGCTGCTGATGGCGCCAAAGAAGCTCGGGCCTTTGATCACTTTGAGGGTGAGTCTTATGCTCCCAAGACGTGACTTCCTAATGGAATATATGTTATAGGAACTGCTCAACTCTCTGCCATGCGCCTGTGCTCAATACATGAGTCAGGTAAAATTTTCCTTTTTTCTTGCCATTATCTTTGTTTTGTTTTCTGCTTTGCTCTCTGTAATACTACGATTGACTTGCATTTCTCTTATTCGTAGGTTATGATAAGTTAGACAAAACGTTGCTGGGCGTGGATGATACCTGGAAGCCTCTTGTCAAGACTCCAGGGTATCCTCTCTTCCCCCTTGAAGTGTTAGAGGTTTACGTTGCTGCCCGTTTGGGCGAGACACGTCCTCTCCCTGCCGAGTTTAGGCATAATGCTACTACTGCTAGTACCTCTGCTCGTTCTACTCCCACTGTTCGAGTAGAGGTTGAGCCTGAAGCTTCTACTGCTGGTAGTGAACAAGTTAAGGGGGTTGCTGATCTCCCTGGAAGTCTGGGTCGTTGGTGGCGCTAAATGCTTCGACTGCGCCTCCGGTCGGTGGACAGCCCAGAATGTCGATGAGGATAAGGATGAGGCCTACACTCGTGGAATCCCTGATGTTAATGAAACTTCTAACCGCACAGGTCACAACAACGATGAGTTTGCAGATTCCTTGTTCATTTCTGCCTCTTTCGGTGCTCCTGCAAGTTGATGTATCCTCTGGGAAGGAGCCGCAGGGTTCTATTTCTATTGGGCATGTTTTGCCTCCAATAATGAAGGTCTGCCTCCTCTTTCTGAGAGTCGACCTCTCCCATCCTTTGTTTCTACCGGGCATGTTTTGCCCGAAATTTCTGTTACCGCATGATTAACTGTTGAACTTCCTACCTCTGCATTTTTAGGTGTTGCGGTGACTCATAACCCTATTTCTCAACCACGATCATATCGCGATCGTCTGCGCAATAGTCGCTGTGGTGGGCTTGCGCCTAGTACTTCAGGCAGAGGAGGCCCTACTCCTGTTATTGACTTGGAGCCTGTTTTTCCTCCACGTGAGCCTTCTCCCAAGAGGGTTAGAGTCCCTACAGTGGACGAGTTGCTTGCTTCAGCCTCTGGCCATTCTGAGCCAGTTACAGCGCTGCATTCTCAAGGTAGGGCTGCTCCTGCCTCTAGCGAGCTTAATATCTATGAAAGTCAATATTTTGGGAGACTTACACTCATCCCTTCTTTGTTTCTTCTAAATCTGCAGGCGGGGTTTTCAGGCTGGCTGGTCCCTTGGAGTTTTCTAAAGTTCACATTAACACAGCTCCAAGGCCTACGCCATGTCCTTCTGGGGTGGTTGACGAGCCTTTCTGTCCTGCTCTAAATGTTAGGGCTGTTGAGTCTATTTTCCTAGATGATCCTCTTCAGGGAGGTACCTTAGGATTAGGCTGACTCAGGGCATTGGACTTCCCGCTGACCTTGGGAATGAGTATGTTAGCGTTCCTGCTGCCATTGCCTGCCATGACCTACAAAAGGTACTATTTTATTTCTCTCTCAGTTGCCTTTATTTTCTTCGGTTTATTTTTCAGTTCTTACTGAACTTGTTTTTTTCTTTGTTTGCTGCCCAGGTCACTCGCTCTGTCAGTGATCTGGCTACTGCTTTGCTCACTGTTGAGAAGGGGTATTAGTCTTAGAGTTCAAGTTTAAATGAGAAGGTGGCAGACTTGGAGCGGGCTCAGAACGAGAAAGCAGAGTTGGAGCGTGGATTGAAGGAGAAGGATGATGCGCTGCGTGCTGCTCAACTTCAACTAACCGAGTACCACCCGGCTACGCAGAAGCTGGAAGAACGTGATGACGAGCTGAAGAGGGTTCAAGCCCAAGTGCAAAGTTTGGAAGGGACTGTTGCTCGTTTGGAGGGAGACCGTACTGCGGAGCTTAATGTAGCTCGCAGGGATGCCTTAGTAAAGTTTGCCTCCTCTTAGACTTTTGCAAACTTGCTCACAGATAGACATGATGGAGGTTGGGAGGCTGCTCACAGGTGTG